AGAATCCGCCTGCCAATGCAGGGGACACAGGTTCGAGCCCTGGCCCAGGAAGATCCTACATGCTGTGGAGCAACTAAGCCTGTGCACCACAACTACTGAGCCTGCACTCTAGAGCCCACGAGCCACAACTACTGAAGCCTGTGTACCTAGAGCCCATGCTCTGCAACAAGAGAAGCCACCACAATGAGAAGCCTGCGCACTGCAACAAGAATAGCCCCCACTCGCCGCAACTAGAGAAAGCCCATGTGCAGCAACGAAGACCCAATGCAGCCAAAAATAAATAAATTAATTAATTTTTAAAAAAAGGATATAAAATTCAGGAATGTGGTAGCTACAGGAAGGCAGGATGATGAAGAGATAAGTTGGCAAAAGGATTCAAAGTTATTTTGTGTATTCTGTTTCTTAACTGGATTGTATTTACACAATTGTATACTTTTAAAATATATTTATTATAAAGAATTTATCTGTGATGAAATTTTAAAGTTTTTTATATAGAAATTGAAGGCAACTGTGTGTATTTGGGTATGTATGACTGTATGAAGATGAAGAAAGTTATGGGATATGTATGCCAGATTTTAAACAATGCTCTACACAAGGGGAGTGTGGGAGCTTGTGAAGGTATGTGCAGAGGAGAAACAGGTAAGTGATGTGAAAAAAAATGCCTGTTAAAAGTGTAAAGTACATACATCTCTGTTATTTACATGTATATGTGTTAGAAGATACTAAGAAATACTAAGAATCATTATAACAAGGTAGTAAACTTTCAGGTGTTTTCACTTGGTATTTTTATGCCTTGCTTGAACATTTGACAAAGTCTATTTTGTATAATATAAGTATGGCCACCCTTGTTTTCATTTACAATTTGCATGGTATGTCTTTTTCCACACTTTCACTTTCAGCCTCTGTGTGTCTTTAAATCTGAAGTGAGTCTCTTGTAGACAAAATATAGCTGGATCTTGTTTCTTTTTTCATTCATTCAGCCATTCTGTCTTTTTTTTTTTTTTTTTTTTTTTTTGTGGTAGGCGGGCTTCTCACTGTTGGGGCCTCTCCCGTTGCGGAGCACAGGCTCCAGATGCGCAGGCTCAGCGGCCGTGGCTTGCAGGCCTAGCCGCTCCACGGCATGTGGGATCTTTCCCGGACCGGGGCACGAACCCGTGTCATCTGCATCGGCAGGCGGACTCTCAACCACTGTGCCACCAGGGAAGCCCCATTCTGTCTTTTGATGGAGAAGTTTAATCCATTTACATCTAAAGTAATAATTAACAGGGAAGGACTTACTGTTGTCATTTGTTTTCTGTTTGTCTTATAGCTTTTTTGTCACTCTTTTCCCTTCTTGCTGTCTTCCTTTCTGTTTCATTGATTTTTTTTTCTGTGTGTGTGTGTGGTGATGTGCTTTGATTCCTTTCTCATTTTCTTTTGTGTACCTTCTATAGGCATTTTCTTTGTGGTTAACATGGGACTTAAACAAAACATCTTAAAACAAGCTATATTAACTGATAACAACATCATATACAAATGCTCAGCACTTTTATTTCTCCCCTCACACATATTTTATGTTATTGATGTCACAAATTATGACTTCATATTGTGTATCTACTAACATGTTTTTGTAGTTATTATTTTTACTTCTGTATTTTAATCTCTGTTCCAGAATTAAATGTGATTTATGCACCACCATTATAATATTACAGAATTCTGTATTTGTCTATACATTTACCTTTTCCAGTGAGCTTTTTCCTTTCATATTCTTTCATGTTGCTGTTTGGCATCATTTCCACTTGAAGAACTTCCTTTAGCATTTCTTGTAAGGCAGGTCTAGTGGTGATGAACTCCCTCAGCGTATTATCCCACTCCCTCTGGCCTGCAAGACATCTGCTGAGAAATCTGCTGAGAGTCTTATAGGGGTCCCCTTGTACATGACGAATTGCTTTTCTCTTGTTGCTTTCAAAATTCTCTCTTTGTCTTTGACTTTTGACAATTTGATTACAGTGTGTCTCACTGTGGATTACTTTGGATTCATCCTGTTTCGA